ATGTCGTATCGGAACTCTTGGGGAGATAAGACACGTCCGATTTAAGTTCGCGAAAAAGGAATGCTCTCTCGAGCGACGCTGCGATTAAAGGTCAGCTGTAGAGACGAGAGAGAGAGAGAGAGAGAGAGAGAGAGAGAGAGCGAGAGGAAAAAAGAGAGAAAAAGATAGGTGGACAAGGCAAAACGCGGATCGGGATCGTGCCGAGGTTGGTACTCTTGGGAGGAGGACCTAGAATCTTTTGGGACTGTCGACCGATTTAATTGGCTTTCTCGGAGGAAGGGACTGGCAACTCGTGGCAACCGCAACGAGTCTTGATTCTTCTCCCAGACAAGTCCAATAAATCCTCTCTCTCTCCCGAGTCTGGCGCGCGTCTTTTCTCTGGTACGCGATGGTGACAAACTAAAACCGAGTCCCTCCCTCCTCTTCCTTCTCCTCCTCTTTCTACTCCTTCATCTCCATCTCCATCTCCTACTCCTCTTCTTCGTCCGGTTCCTCTCTTCTTACTTATCTGATCTCGCGGCGGAGGATACACAAGAAACACAAACTGCGCAAGGAGGAGGAGGAGGAGGAGGAGGTGTAGAGTAGATGCCACGTAGTGATAGAGTTCGTTCGGTTGGATAAGGAGAGGCGAGGTGGTCCGGAAAACGGGGATAGATGGACGAGCTGAGAGCGAATAGAGGGAGAGAGAGAGAGAGAAGACACCGGCTCGGACTCCTTTCTCTGGTAGCGCTGATGTCCTCGCATTAAGAACTCGTTCTCTTATCGGCGATGATTTATAGAGGCGTTCAATTTTTAGGCTCCTCGTCGAAAGGGAATCACCGAAATAAATATGGCCACTGCGCGTTAAACCGATCCTTTTGGACAGGGCTCGCGCAAAGGCCGGACAGATGTTTTCACCGATCTTCTTCTTCTTCTTCTTCTTCTTCTTCTTCTTAGTTGTCATCGTCGTCGTAGAATAGTAGAGCCCAAATGCCGGGCAAAGGGTTCCTTCTTTTTTTCTTTATCTGTTCAAATTTCCACCGCCCTCGCTGACAGAGAAAAAGAGAGAAAGAGAGACGCCCTTGAATTTATCGCGTCCTCGTGTTTTCCATTCGGCTTGTGGTGGATTAAACGAGTAACAGCCTCGCTCACGGGCCAAAGCAAAAAGCTTCTTCCTTCTTCATCTCCACCTCCTTCTCCTTCATCTCTTCGTCTTCTCGTTTAACGGACGAACGAACGCGTTTTCATTCGAGCTCATAGCACTTTCTTCTTCATGGCTTTACGCATCTCCGTCGAGAGACATTCTCTTTCTCATTTTATCTCGTTTTATCTCGTAAAAGTACCACTTCCGTCTATCTCTAATTGCGAATGCTTACTTGTCAGGCCGCTTTAACGTTACCCACGCTTTCTTCGTAAGTTTCTTCGTGAGTTTCTTTCGCGAATACCCAATCGCAAAGACTATGGAGATACTAAGCTCTCTTCACTTTTCCTTCTTGTTCTTGCATTATGTCCGTAGTAGACTCGGGCTTTTGGAAAGCTCCGATGGTCGAAAGTAATAACAGAAAGACGCGGATAACTGGATCTTTCTCGTGGTTTTATAAACAAATTTGCGACAAAGATAAAGAAAAAGACAAAGTTAATTTATTGACTCGCCGTCGACGTTGACAAGGCAAAATCGTTTGCAAGTATTTATCGGCACGATTATTCGAGATCGCGTTTGGTAGTCTCAAAGATTTAATGTAATCGGCGTCCCTCGAGTACGACCGGTTGTGTTTCGCCGATAAAAGTCTTTTTCGCTTGTTTCTACTCTTTCTCTCTTTCTTTCTTTTTCATTATCTCTCCCATTTCTTTTATCTTTTCGCAAGAGAAGATAAGGGCGAAGCTTGTTTCATCGAAACCGCTGAGTCGACTGAGAATCACTGGTTCCTTTCGGTCGCATCAAGTGGAATGTATTCATCCATCGAGTTAACGCACGCTCAATTTGTCCGGGCCTTGTCAGCCGCGCTGGAAAAGGATACCTTAATAAATTGTTGCCATGTTCTCGGACGGGTTGATTTCTTTCTTGCTTTCTTTCTTGCTTTCTTTCTTGCTTTCTTTCTTGCTTTCTTTCTTCCTTTCTTTCCCCCGCCCACCCCGCCCTCCGCCCTACCCCCACCCCTCTTCTCTTTTTTATTTTTCTTTACCTTTAAAACTCGGATGAACCCGCGACCGGTATGACGTGAACTTGCTTCTCGACTTTTTCAAGTAGGTAGAACAGAACAGAACAGAAGTATATGTATCTACGTAGATATAGGTATAAGAAAAAACTGTTGGTACTTCATGCCGTTGACAATAATCGTATTTGTCGAAGTTATAAGTTGCCTCTTTAATGAACATTATTTTTAAAGGACCTAGGAAAAGTATTTCATCTTGCAAATAACGAAATTTCATTCCTTCTGTGTCTATCGAGACGTTATTAGAACTGCAAATGTACTTGGCCAGCAACGCAAAGAAACACTGAGAAAATAGCCTTGCGGCATAGACGTCTGCGAAGACAATGACATCTCATCATTATGTAATCGTCGGGTCTGCTATGATTCTGCGAGCTACTACAGTTGATGTTACTCGTTTAACAATGTCTGGACCACCGAACATTCCTATTCTCGTAGTAGCTACTACTTACTTTGCTCTTATCATCGAAACGAATTATTGTACCTACGAATAGAGAATGGTATAGTACGGTATTCCGGTGAACGATCAAGAGCTATCTTCGACTGAAAGAAATACTACTCCATGGAATTATTGACGTTTCTTCTTACAAAATTGCTTTCTATAACTTTAATAGCGTTCAAAGTACGATTATCGTTCTCTCTCTCTCTCTCTCTCCCTTTCTCTCTGACTTCCTTTCTCCTTCTTTTTCTCTCGAGTTCTTCTTTATTAAAAAGACATTATATTCCATTGCCAGGAGATCCGTGAAATTCTTGTATAATTTATGGGTGAGGGAGAGAGAGAGAGAGAGAGAGAGAGAGAGAGAAAAGGATTATCTTTGCTCGCAAAATAGATACATTTTAGGTACAAAGACGATCGATTTTCGTCATCGAAAAGATCAAAGAGTCATTGAAGGAATCGTTTTCGGAGACAGAAGATAAACCGATAGAAAAGAAGATTCCTGTTACTTAAATTAAAAAATTCATTGGTATATTGAATTTAATCGTATCAATATCGTGATCGAGCTATCAGTTTGTTAGCCTTTTCTCTCTCTCTTTCTCTCTCTCTCTCTCTCTCTCTCTCCTTTCAGCGAAGGAAAAATACATCTAATAAGATCCGAACTGGCCAGAGCCGGGTAAAGGCCGGGCAGAATCAATTTCATTTTTCAATTTCATCTTGGTCAGGTGGGGGGAGTGGAAGGGAGGATTCTACGTAAAGGTGGGATAAAAGAGTAAGAGGGAAAAAAGTACGAAGAAGAGAGAGGAAGAGGAAGGAAAAGCCAGGCAGCTGATGGGAAAAGGAAACGTAGCCATTTTGCGTCGTTGTACGCGGCTATATAGCACTGTAGTAAGGAGGATCAGGAGCTTTGCTCTATGATTACGTGCGCTAGTTCGAGCCGGACAGACAATAACGCGGCATGGGGCTTGACCTAACCCAAATAACTTCATCTTAACCAGTAATACCAAGCGCGATAGATAGAAAAGGAGAGAGACAGAGTGGCAATTCTTCGAGGGAGATCTACCGGTGTTCTCTACTACACGTTGAAAATGAGATTTTCATCCGGCATAGAATCTAATGCTTCTTTTATTTTTCGAGTCACTCCATCTCCTTGGTAGATTTCTTTTTCTTCTTTCTCCCTCCCCCCTCCCTCCTTCGATCCTTTTATTCAAAGGCGTATTCTTTGAAAATGCAAATGACGTTAAGTGGTCGAGCCAGTGCGGGGTGACCTTGCGTCTTCTAGCGTCTTTCTGTCTGGCCTGCTTTTTCAATGACCCTACGAAGAAGGGATGCATCGTATTCGCATCACGGAGTATCCCTCTGAATACATTCTCTCGTTCCTCTTCTATGGGTTCGTTTGTGCACGAATGTGTACGTTAAAATGTGTCTGAGTGTGAGCACAAGTCCTTGTATGTACATACGTAGGTGGGTACGTGGGTCAAGAATCATTGGCATTACGAGCGTCTTTGATAGCACCGGGATTCTTAATGGGATGCTGCTGTTGCTGCCGCTGATGATGATGATGAGAGAGAGAGAGAGAAAGAAAAGGAGAAAAGAGTAATACTTTACGGTAATAATTGCGACTTCCTTTTGATATCCCTTTCACCGATTTCTTTTCATTCGAAAGGTAACGGCATAGCATCGTTTAACGAAAGTCCAGGTCAGAATTTTCAAATGAAATAAATCTCTTGAGAAAATTCCTTTTAATTTGATCCATACGAATGAGAATCTGCAACGTCCAATGTACAATTTCTTTTTACAAATTTAAATGAGAAAACTCGTAATATAAAACGATTAATCGCAAGGATGTCGTACGAATGATGACAACGACGACGACGACGACGACGACGACGACGACGACGACGACGATAGGGATCGAATCTAAACATCGAAACGATCGTAGTAGCCGCTGTCGTCATCTTGTCTCCTGCCATTCGATTTCGAAGAAGGTTCAAGAATTTTGTTGAAACATTGACAGGGGAGTAGTTGTCGTAAAAATTTACGGTCCTCCAACGGAGGTAAGGCGAAAGCCTTATCTTTACTTTCACACCCCAAATGACCGACTCGAATCAGCCCCTTCCCCGTCGTTGTCGGGAGACTTCACAAGTATCTCTCTCTCTCTCTCTCTCTCTCGTTTACGCTCGTTTACGTTTCTTCCTCTTGGTTTCTCCTTCAACGACGAGTCACAAGTAAAGGATATCTATAGCTTAGCCTCATCTCTTCTCTTTTCTTTTTTCCCTTCCCATTCTAACTTTACCCTCCTCTCTTCCCTTTCATTTCGCGGATCTCCATCTCATTTTTTTCGTCACCTCAACGAGGGTTCTCTCTCTCTTAAGACTTAAACCGTTACGAGCCAGGCCAAGGAGTCTTTCTGGAATTCTGGAATCTCCTTGGTCTTTCTCCGGAACGCCGAGAATATGTCTGGGGTATGGAGGAGCAGCTACGTTTATTAGGCGGCTAAAGGATCCCTCGTGGACTTGCTACGAGGTGACAACTTAAAAGAAAAAGAGAGAGAAAGAGAGAGAGAGAGAAAGAGGGAATCGCATTTGTCGAATTATGTTCGCTCGTATGGTAAGTATCATTAATTACGCAGGAATTTCTTCGATAGAATTTTTTCCCTGTTATAATTGAATCGATGATAAACCGATAAACATTACGTCTTCTTTCTTTCTATTTCGTATTTCTTAAAATAGCAACCAAGATTGAAAAGGTTATTTTCGATCGTAAGATCTTTGTAAAGATATCGATTCAATAAAGGTTTTAATTCATGGAGAAAGAGTTTTTAATTACGTATCCTTACGTAAAAATATCATTTTGTTTATATTATCTCAATCTTATAACGAATTAGAATTATCAGATTCAAATTTTTTATGCGTCGTTCACATGTAAAGGTTAAAAAGCCAATGAGTTATCGTTGAATCTATAAAACAGAATCTATTAACCATTCAAAATTTATTTAGCGAGTAATCAGATGGCGCTTCGATCGATCCTTCGTCGCATTAGCCGATTTTCAAAACTTTTTAACAGTTTGAAATTTAGATCGAAGGAGTTCGCGTCGCTAACGATGTTACTGAATAAATCTCATTATCTTTTTCGTTATTTTTGTACGTTTTTTAATATTTTCGAAATGACAAATTATTAAATTGTCGTAAAGGTTAATGATTACGATTAAATCAAACGATTATTATCTTTTATAGGTTGGAGAATGAGAGGTGTAAAAATTCACATCGATCATCCATCTTGCTTCTTCCCACGAGGGAAAAAAAATGACGAGGATGATGATCCCCGATGTTGGAAGAAAATATTTTTTCAAGATTTCCAGAGGGAGAGATGAAAGGTTGCCGCATCACAGTCCTTAATCGCTCAGGTATAATACGCATTCGTATCTCGATTTTCGAGGTTTAACATGACCTTCGAAGGTTTACTCGTTCGTTAGAAGATATTCTTTGCGATATCGAAGCTGAAATGAGAAATTCGGAAAATAAAAAAACGAAATGCCTTTTGTGAAGGTTTAAGATTTTTATCTCCCGAGGACAAACGCTTTTTCGTTTTTCCAATCTATTCTCTTATCTCTCGTCCTTGTTTTCTTTACACCAGTATAGTATTACTTTAGATATTCGAATAATAGGAGATAGGTATAAAGATAGAAAGAAAGCCTATATATATGTGTGTATGTATATACATATACACACATACGCACACATATACATATATATTCGTTCGTTATCCATCCATTATATAACGAATTTTCAACCGTTAGACGGAGATGTACGATGTCTTCCGAATTAGCACGATTTGCTCAGTGACCGTTATGACGTCTAATAATCACGCGAACGTTATATAGTGCACGATAATATTCATATATAAAAATTACAAAGTTTTTCGTTGGAAAATATATTAATTATTAATTACTAAGTGATATATAACAAAGAGAGATAGAGAGATAGAGAGAGGAGAGTCAAGTGTACTCTACGATCAAGTACTTCTCTCTTTTTCATTATATGTATTTCGTTAATTAATTAATTCTACAAATTTTACTAATTCTCTCCCAACATATTCAGCGGTTTTCAACGCATTTATTAAACGTATGTATTTATATCATTTAATTAGAATAAGATTCACCGATATATTAAATAATTTATATCGGTTTTAATTGAGGGAATAATTAAATATTAAACTAGCCAATGTTATTTTAATAACATCGAAGGTAATTATCGACTATATCGAGATATAGGAGATGCAGTTCGATGCAATATTATCGATCCGGATAATGAGTCGATAATAACGGAAACCGACTAGGACATTTATCCTATGCATCACTATACTTTTACACCGTATATATATATATATATATATATATATACGGTATATATATATATATATATATATATACATATATATATATACATACACACACACACACACAACAGACATGTAAAATATATGTAGATACAGATACATTATACATAGATATATAGTCTGTTAAGCGATATCGAAAGAACGAAACAATTTTACATTTTGCGGTCGTAATGTTTTATCGCCGTGAGTGATTTCTTTGAAAAGGGACAACACGTTACAGCGTGCCAATTTTATCAGTGGCACTCGTATTATATTGATTTACATGTTTCATATAATAAAAAAGTATTTCGTACTTTCGATGGCTTTGTGACAGCGAGTAACGATCGCAAATATGTATTTCGACACTTTATTGTTAAAATTTTGCATTTATTCGTGTCTCCTCGTGAAATTATTGTTTTCAAAAAACGCATGGGGAAAGAGAGAGTGATGGGTGGGTGGAATCAGGGACGGAGGAGAGAGAGAGAGAGAGAGAATGGAAAATCACGTTGTAAAAAAAGGAAAAAAAATATATTGAAGGAACGGCGATGGAGATAGTCGGGGAGGGGGAGAGGTAGGGCTTTTTTTTGTAAAAACAAAGGGAAAAAAACAAAAAAAAAAAACAAAAAAAAAAAAGAAATAAAAGAAAAACAAAAGATCATACGCACATATTCTCGTCGATTTTATTATCACTGTAATGGATCGATCCTCTACCGATGATTTATCGTTAATGGATTTAACGTGTTGATGAATTTCGGCTGAAAGGGCATCGAGTTACGACAATCTTGGACAATGCGTTTAATAATGAAAACGCGTCAAAAATCGATCGTCATTCACAAAGATCTCCGTGTCGTTAAATCAAATTGATCTCGTTCGTTGCCCGATCATATTATCTGGTGTTTTTTATTGTTTCTTTTTTTTTTTCTTTTTTTTTTTTTTTTTAAGAATCAAATATCGCGCTGATATTATTATCCACGTTCGTCGTTGTATTTTTTTTTTGTTTTGTTTCTTGTTCTTTTATTTTTTTTTTCTTTCTTTTTTTTTTTCTTTTTGTTTGCGAGGAAGCGCAAACTCAAATTAGTTTCTATTCCATTTGGAAGCGTTCGCTTTGAAAAAGGATCTAATTCGTTTAAGCGCGAATGATTGATTTGCGTTTATTCTATTTCAATGAATAGAAAAGAATAGGGAGAATAATTCTATTACATAATACGAGATAATTTATATATCTAAACGAATGTTTATTTGGAATAGCAATGTATATATATATATATGCAATACATATTATATAACAATACTTTGCTTAGTACTAGAAATGATCGATAATGCGATCAGCTATGAAATCAAGTTAAACAACGTAGCTTCACATTTTATCCGAGTACGTACATAAATATATACATATATAAATATGTACATACATACATACATACATACATACATACATACATACATACATACATACATACATACATACATACATACATTACATTCATACATAAATACATTTACATGCAGTACATGCATACGTACTTGCGTATGTATATTTCTAAATGCATAGCTGGACGAGTGTGTGCGGGTTTGCGCATACTCGCGAGTGTATCGAGTATCCACGAGTGGCCTGAAAGAAGCGTTTTACGCCATCCCGTTAATAATGCGCATCCAATTACCGGCTTTACTGGCTCGAAGCCACGTCACCAGAGCTCATTTGTCATCCGGTTACTCCCTCACCACCGCTTATACGCGATGAAAGCCTTATTCCGTAACGAAACTTTCGTCTCCTATCTCTTTCTTTTTCACTTTCTTTCTCTCTCTTTTTTTCTCTCATCGTAGGCTTCGATCATCGAGAAGCACAAGATGCAAGGTCATCCAAACAGAATAGTACATAATTCAGTGAATGCATCGTGTTATGAAGTCAACCTATCTTTCTCTTTTTCTCTCGCTCTCTCTTTCTCTTTTATGTACGTGTATGTACTAACGTATAAGTAAGCGTGTATATATATATATATATATATATATATATATATATATATATATCTCGATTGTCGAAGGACAACTCAATTTAGTAGATACGTGTATCATCGAATTTTTCTTTTCCTATTTTCTTTTTTTTTTTTTCTTTTCCTTTTTTCGAAGAAGAATCGTAATATAAAAAGTTGTGTAATTTAGGAGCGCAGAAGTTTCTTTCTTTCTTTCTTTCTTTCTTTTCTTTTTTTTTTCTTTTTCTATCAATTCCATCAGATTTCAAAGACTTCGAATGATACTTCGAAATGTAGTTTCGCGAAGATCGATAGTAGTCTAAGGATCGTAGAATGTCTCGTCGTTTGTAAGTCACTGAGAGTGGGAATATCGTCGAAAGAAAGCGGTTAAACACGTAGAGAGGGTTATAAAGCGTGCGCGTAGATTTTGGCATCGCTCGGAACGTTCCCACGGAATCGGAGATTCGCTCCTCCTTCCTCTTCCTCCTCTTGTCCCTCATCCAGTAACTCTCGAGCGGCAAACGGTGCCACGAGCATCGAGAATCTAACCTACATTCGTGGGAGGCTTTTCTCTCTCTCTCTCTCTCTCGCACGCGCTCTTCGTGAACGACCTATAAAATAAGTTCTCAAAGTATCGACGTAAAGTCGCGTGTGTATCGAGTCTCTCAATTAGTCTGCAAATTTATGTAGATATCTGTAAATCTACGAAACATTTCATATATTTCAATATATATATATATATATATATATATATATTTGTATGTACATAGGCGCGCGATATATTCAGTTAGAAGTTACAACTGTTTGTAGAGATATTAAGGAATAGAGAGAATTGGAAAGTCAAACGCACCGATATTCTGAATTCCACAGTGGGAAAAAGAAAAAAATAGAGGAGATATACGTGGACTGGTTCGATCGTTAATCCTTGCGACATTGGTCCTCGATGAAACGTACTTAAGGGCTTCTTCCTGTCGGTAATCGCGTTTCCTTTCTAACGAAAAGTACCAAAATAACCGACTCGCCCTCTCTCTCTCTTAGGAGGATAGGAGTCGACAAATCGACGGCAACGCGGTCGTTAATCGGCCGAGCAGAGAGAGAGAGAGAGAGAGAGAAGTTTTCGTTCCCTCGCTCGTAGATTTAAGACAGCTCTAAAAATATGGTTCTCCTCGGAGGCAGTCCTTTAATCGTCCTCCACCTAGGTCTTTTTCTTTTTCTTTTTTCGTTGTAGCTTCTCGTCTTCTTCGCTACTTTCTCTCACCCCTCCCTTTTCCTCTCTCTCTCTCTCTCTCTCTCTCTTTCTCCATCTTCCACTCGCTTCTTCTCTTAAAAGCTACCGTGCTCTGCGCCCGGAGGCTTCCAATGTCCGCTTAATTATCTTTCGAGTTGGAACGCGGCAGGGGTTAAGTTTCGTCGGGAATGCGCCGTAATTAAGAAAGGTGTTGCACCGATCCACCGCAGTCATTTGCCGGAAAATTGCCTGGAAATGGGCAAGAGGAAGGACGCCGTTGGAGACGGTGCAGCACTTTTGCTCGACGACGAAGACATGAGCGTGGAGGAGGATGGTGTTTCTATTATTAAGTGGCTCATCTTCCTACGGAGTGCCAAGAGTGCTCTCATACCTTGATTAACTGGATGAAATAGGTATATACGCGCTCGAGATCGAGATAGAGAATATATACACGTGTGTGTGTATCTATTAGATTTGAGACAATGATATTGTTTTAATAATATTTCTTAAATATCGAATAAGACCGTATGTTATTTCTCTCTTTATTTATCTCATCTATGAGAAAAAAGTCAAAGAATTTGAAACGATCATCGATGATGGGTGGATCAGACCGAGTGATTTTTCGTAAGATAAACAGTAGGTTTGGTTTTATAGAACAGAAAATAGCGGTAGACAGACAAGATACGTCGTGCGAGTATCCTGTCGGAGTCAGTCGAAAGGAACATGGAAGGGAGTGGAAGAGGAAAAAGAGCGTTAGGTAGACCGTAAGGCGACGCCAATATAACAGCAGCAGTAGCGGCAGCCTTCTAGAGCAGAGATTTTCGAAACGCA